ATTCATAATTTGAATGTTACTCATTGCTGTTGTTTCGTTAACGAGTATTACAAAACAACATTTGAAAAGATAATTTTAAATTGGTTCGAAGTATAACGTCATAAAATGCATCTTAACTTGAACTATTTTTTATTTTTCGATCGCTAGAGTTGATCGTAACGATGTTTGCTTTGGTTATTTATTTTTAATTATATTATTATCTTAACTATTTTATGATATTAATATTTAACGTTTAGTTCTTAAAACATCATATTGAACAATTTTTTTCATGCTTGACTACAGAAAGCATCAATTTCATTAAACATTAATAAAAACACCGCAATTTGAGAAATGGGTGGTTGGTTATTTCTCATAAATCAGTTAGGCGCTTTGATCCGTTTTTGCACGATTGGATGTAATTCAACGGACGAAATGCAATGAAAAATCTGTAATTCAAGGGAACATTCACTGTTGTTATTTGTTTGGAAAGCAGGCGATTCATCACAGGCTCCACTGCTTGATGCGCCGGTACCATCACATTCGGGACAGGCCGCAACCATTCCAGCCGTTGGTTAATTTGCGTGTCTTCATTTCAAATAATATTGATGATGTTGACGACGATGATGATATTATTATTAATGCGAATTCTTTAATTCTTCAACATCAAAAAAATGATTGAATTTAAATAAAACCAAAATATTATATCATTATAAAAGTATAATAAAATGTAAAATATAAGTAATTTAAATGAATGAATAGTCGTAAATGCTTGCCATCAGCAAATGAGTACAAAGATGAATCATTAATATAAAAATTGTATCAACTCTTGCTTCTCCTACCACAATATATTGCACATGAAAAGATATCGCACAATTAATCAAGCTGTCTCTGAAATTTCGAAAGATGGTTTAAATGAATTAAAAAAGCCTGTGGGTGAAATTTCAAATGTATTAAGCTTTTAAAATCATTTGATAAGTTAAATTTAAGATTGTTTCTATATTTGTCGATTTTGAATATTAGATTTAGTAAAATTGGTTTCGTGGCAAACTGTCAATTTCAATAACTCAATTTTACAATTCTTCCTTTGTGGACAATCGCAATATCCGACCTGAGCGAGTTGAATAGTTGAAGTACCGGTTGAACTGACTCACCTTCGACATCTGCTTCGGTAGCAACTTGTTGTAGTTTGAAAACCAATGAAAGAGTTCGGTAACTTGACGAATCAAATATTTCTCGAGTGCAGATGGCGGGCCGCAGTTTGATTTGTTTGCTTTGCATTGCAGAGGGAACATGACGCGTTCGTTGTTTCGCCCCATTTTAAAAGGTTTGTGCTTGTAGGTAGCTGCTGCGTGATATATTTTATAGTGGGTTTGAAGTTTGAATAGAATTCAGGTCGAGACCTTTGGTTGATTTTATCAATATTCCTTAGCGTTGTAACAACGACAAGTGATTGAAATCTCTTTGTTATTGACATTGTTTTAGGACTTTGCAAGCCAGCTGCTTGTCATTCTGTTTAATTTTGTTGACAATTTTTAAGTAATCATTGCCTGATTCGCGTTGTGTTGTAAGTTGTGTGAGTTTTCAGTAATCTGATGTTGAAACCTCCAAATTTGTACGCCAGTGAAAGAATTTCGGTAACGCGACTGTTAATCGACAGAGACAACCAGTTCTTTACAGTTCTTCTTTATCAGTAAGTCGAGGTAATTGTGTTCCATCCGAGCTGTTAATATGATTGCTGTACTGCCAGCAAATTGCAACGAAGCTCTGGATTTGAGATTTGTTGCATGACGGCCCATGCGTGTCCACATTGTTTGTGCTCTTCTTTCCAACATTTGGAATAAAGTGTTAAAGCAGAGGTTGAATAGTAGCGATGAATTAGGATCGCCTCCTAGAAGACCATGTTTCACTGAAATGGGCAGCGTTAACTTGTTACACACTGATACTGTTACAGAACAGTCGGTGCAGATTGATTTAAGTCGTCAAACTGATTTGGGATGTGATGGTATTTCAAACAGATGAGATAAGACCGCGACTCATCTTGCCAAACGCGTTTCTGAGATTTGAAAATGTTTTTTTATTCCTTATAATGCAGTTCTGTCATCAGATGATTCTAAAATATCAGCAAATAAAATTGATAGGCTCATAAATTTTTATCATGTCATCAATATGAAGGAATGCATTGTGCCGTCTGAGATTGTCGACCACCGTCGAAAACGATCGCATGTATACCGGCAGAATAATCTAATAACAAATAATTTCCAGACAAGGGGCAAATGCAAGAAGAAATGTCTAAAGACGCCTCAACACCAGGTTCAGACTGATGAATCGTGCGTGTCAAGTGAAGATGACCTTAATGAAAATTCAACTCTGCCAAAAAAGACGCCAGCTCCTCCAAAGTCCTGTGCCAGAAGGGACAAATTTGAAATGAATGCTTTTAATTGTTAGCGTTTGTTGACATCTGCTTGAAAATTAGATATGGATTGATATTCAAACAAATTTGCCGATAAAATTTCAAAAAATTTTAAAAATTGTAATGAAATTCTTATAATTTAATGAATTGACGGATGAGTAATAGATAAATAAAATTGATGTTTTGTTTATTCAGAAGTGAATTTGGTTTAATTTTTGTGAAGCCTCATACAAGACGGAGACCCTGACCTCCCTGCCTGGCCCTGATGCCTACTTTGTGCCCCACTGCAGTGACTCCCTGCCCCACCCAGAAAAGATCATGTCGTGCGTGCACGTGGATAGTTTGATGATGGACGGGTCAAACGTGCCCCCATCGTCGTCATCATCACTGCTCAGGAAACAATCTACTGCGCAGTACATCAGCATCAGGGGCAGAGATAAGAGGTGGTGTGGTGCAATGAGAATGGTGATGAAAGTATTAATGTCGAAACTAGTAACATAATGATAGTGATGGATACGATGATGACAGTGATTACAATGAAAATGAAAGCAATTTTTGTTTTAAGATTCGAATTGGATGATCGATCGAACTGTTTGAGGCATCGTCGGGAGGGAGGGGACCACGGGGACATCCCTGATGTAGTGCGAACCAGGGGGGCAAGAGGGGATGTGGCATCGTTTGAAGATGAGGACGTCGCTGCAGGATCCACGCAGTGCATCACACTGGCAACAAGTGGCATCGATAACGAGGCTGGCTTGTATCCCTTGGAGTACAGGTCACTGAGGGAAAACGTTCCAGCAGGTCGTAACTTATCTTTCGTTTGTTTCTAATTGGTAGAGATTTGTTTCATTTCATTATTAAATCTAAGAAGGGTAGATGTTTAACAGTCTCTGCATGAATTTGTTGCAGCAACCATCACATGTCTTCATCAATCAATAAGAATTATAAACGAATACAAAGTCATCAACATCATCCAAGAACACACATGTAAATTAAATAAACATTATGATATATTAAAGAAATTTGATATTTTATGAAGTGAAACGTGTTAGGGCTAAAGATTGAAATGAATCAAATGAAATTGATTGCTATATCAGCGAAGCCAGGAAACCTGATGGGGGGGTCGATGAAACACGAACGACCGACGGTGACATTCGCACCTACCTCCCCCAAAAAATCCGCTCACTTCGACACATTTGGTAAGCACCGTGAACCTGCTGAGGAAGTCAGATTCGCAACATACGCAGGTTGGTCAACACTCGCCAAATTATGCTTAAACAATCAGTGCATTTTTAAACGTTTACTTGCATAACGATTT